TTGTAGACTTCAGAGCTTTTGAGCCTTTAATATAGCTTAACTCTTTGAAGTAATAAATATTTTGGCTGAACTAAAGCGTTTTTTAGGTACTCTTGAGCACAAAAGTATTGCTAGAAGTTTTTATTGACATATTGTGGGAGTGTTTCTGAAGATCATTGACAGTCTGGTGATAGACTCCAATAAGGTGTTATCAAGTACTCCATATATGACTGTGAACTTACATATTGCTAATTCTTTTGACGAGATGGTCTTTTCAAGATGTTTAATAAGACAATCCAAGTCATCCATGTAAATTTTTTGATTGATAGGTATATCGTACTTCAGGAAGCAATATACGTTTGAAACATTCACTTCTTTGGTATGCGGTTAGATTTTTTTGCGTGATAAATGGTAATAGGGAAATTGTTTTTTGTATACTATTAAAATATTTAGTATTTTTAGGTAAGTTTTTTTCCTAACTTATAGAAAAAAAGGTTAAACTAATAGGTCTATATGACTTTGATTACAACCATTCAAAATTCAAAAAAATAGCTGATACATAAAAAAAGATCTACATCTAAGACAAAATCTTTCACTGTGATAAGAGATCCCAAACGATTTGAAATAAAGCTATGAGATTAGATAGAAAAGCAAGTATATAATAATCATATGTAGGACCAATAATGACATATGCGATAGAAATGAGAGAAGATACATCAGAAACAAAAAGACTACTTAGGACATCAGAAAGAAGAGCTATGAGATTATTGGCCGGAAAAACATTAAAAGATCTCTGTAAAAAACAGAAAACTGTACAATGGAGAAAACAGAAAAAATAGCAATGAAACGAGAGTGATACATGAATAGGTAGTTAGAGCTAGAATACCAAGAGAGTTAAGACCAATAGGCATCGGACCATTATTAAAACATTGTCTGACAGTCCAGTCACAGCCTTAAATTACACTCTTAAGATCGGACAAGAACAGACCTAATATAAGTTGAGAAAGAATGTAAGAAAAATATAAGAAGAATAATAATCTATATGTAGATTCATGAAGCACACTCTTTGCCTCATTTTCAACAACTTTGTTTTTTCGTACATTGCAAGACTTACATAAAAAATTCATAATTTCGAAACCAATTAATTTAGCCCAATCTACTTTACTTCTTCCATTTTTTTTTATTTTGTATAAAAAGACTTCCTTTGTTTTACTTTCAGTAGGTTGTCGTTTCATCGTTTTCGTGGTCTTCCTACTGATCATCTTCCTATTGGAGAACCTTCTCTCTCCATCTTTACTACATCTCTAGTGTCTCTCTACAACATAGGAGTTTTGTTAAGATGTTGTCCACAATGAGACATCTTTTTCTTATATATTGGAAAGCTAATATTGTGTTATGTTAAATTAAAAACCCTGTATTTTTTGGTTCATTACGCAGTAAACTTGAGTTAATTTAAAAAATTACATCTCTGTCATGCTAAATTCTGTATATATTGAGTTATTTTAATTTATTTAAAACTATTATATTATTTTTCCACTGTTGTGTATCATATAAACACTTTGTATTCTATTTGCTGATTATGGTTAGCTCATTTTTCGTTCAAAGAATATTTAGGATATCCAAAGTTTCTCTACATGTTTTAATTTCAGTGGTATGAATAAGTATCAATGCATTTCTTAATTAAAAGTGTTAAAATATCTTTTTAATTATTAAATATTTAAAAATTGAATACTCTTTGTAAGAAAGAATAGATATGATTTTAATAAAGGAAAATATTTATTAGCAGAAAGTATATATGCAGAGAAGTGCCTTACGAAAAATCATTCTATTCAAAGAAACTTTTGAAAAGAATTTCAAAGTTTTAGAACTACAGGTAACTTGGGATCACAATATTTAGACAGAAAATACACAACAAATTTTATTTTAATTTTCGTTGACTAACATATAATTGAATAGACAATCATGATTCATGTTTCATATACATATATAAGAAAGGAGTGAAAAGGTGAAAATAAAATTACTAATTTTAACTATACATATTTATTGTTTATAAGGGATAACAGTAGAAGCATAATCAATAATTAAATACAATATTTATCACAATATTAAAAATAAATAATAATTATCATTTAGCACATTGTGCTCCAAGACAATATTTTAATAAAATTATAAGTAAAGGTTTATAAATAATATAAATGACCATTTTTCTTATTGCTTATTGCCAAATAGGTGTATCAATGTTTTTTCATAATTTGGAATATCCGTTTAAGAGACCTTTCCAGTCTTGTGGTCCACTCGACTCTATATATATATATATATATATATATATATATATATATATATATATATATATATATAGAGTATATATATATATATATATATATATAGGTAAAATGTAATGGCATGTCTCTTAAACATAAAAACAAAAAAACCAAATAGGTATATCGCAGGAAGGCAAGCGTAAATACGTATTTCTCACTATTTATACTTTATCAGTACAGTGCAGCCAAGTTATAAAAACAGAAGCAATGCTACCAATTTGTGTTTTGACTTATGGTACCTTATACGAATTCTGTATAGAATTTTACTCAGAATCTCATAATGTAGTATTATCAATCAATCAATCAATCAATCAATAATGCCTTTTATTTCTCAATATAAAAAAAAATACAATACAATACTTTTAGTGACATTTGTTCTCCTTGGCACATGCCATCAGGAGGGTTGGCAAACAAATATTATTCTCTGATATACAAAAAATTACACTAAGGCTCGTTATATCTAACAAGGTCATTAACATTAATAAAAAATAAATTAAGTAAATATTCATATAAATTTTATAGTAATAAACTAAATGTGTATATCCTACTAAGTAACACTTTGCACTAAACTCAACAATAATAACAATATATAACAGTAAGGTATAGGTAGATTACAATTGAAAAGATTGAATATCCCTTTGAGAGAGTGAAAGCTGCAGATACAACAATAATAATAGTAACAATAATAATAACAATATAGATAGACCAGATAGATAAAAAGATAATAGATATAAGCAAACAAATTATTAATAGGTACTAATTTTAATATAACACCACGCTAATAGATTTAGTAGTTAAATAGGCTCACTAACTCATACCTATACACCCATGCCTCCCTACAATAACCTGCTAACTCAGCCTTGCCCTGTCTCATCATAGTAACTACTTCCACTCTACTAAGTTCATGTCTACCCAACCACTTTAACCTAATATGTCTCAACACCGAACATTTTCCCAAAAAATGTATCACATCTTCCCTTTCCTTCGTGTTACACATTGAGCAAAATCTTCTTTCATCATTTCTGCCAGGTCGATCATTCAAATATAGAATCCCACATCTTAATTTAAAGAGCCATCGAATATCCCCAAAATTTTCCATTTCCAGTAGGTAATGCATGTTTACTCCTTCTTCTCGCAGTTCTTTGTAGTGTCCACAAAAATTTGATTCGAGTGCAATGTTCTCAGCCTGGAGCTGTATCTCCTCCTTCTTCTTTTCTATCATATTCTCAATCATACTAGGCCAGCTATCTCTCCATTCCCATTCACACCTAACCTCAATACCAAATTTTTCTCCCATGCTCATCCAATCTTTCCACCAGCCACACCTTGCTCTCATCATTTCCTTCAAAAGAAATTTTGGCAACCTATCATTCGTATATCCTAGTATTTTTTTAACATACTTTTTATGTAAGTTCATCGTATATAGGCTGACTCTAGCAATACCTGTCTCCAAATCTAACATAAAGTTAGGACAATACCTTGGACAAGAAAACATTTTTTTTTTATATAAAATCTTCTAATGTAGTAATATATAGAGTGTTTTATTTAAAATAGAAAAGGTGTAGTTTACTTCCGGAATAACCGGAAATGGCCTGTCTGTCAAAATAGTTTCTTTAAGATTATATCATAACTTTTAATCCCTATAAATTTTCAATTTCCTCCCACCAATGTTTATAAATATCGTGTAGTTTTCGATATATTATAGATAGTGTAAGCTCGTCTTGAAACACTATAGGAAATTGTCAACATGTTGAAGTTATAGTTAGTTACATATTTGTGAACTATTTATAAATAATAATTATAAATTATTTATCAAAATTGGAGCCAAGCTTCAGTAATATAAGGAAAAGTAAAAAATATAATAATGAGCAAATAAAAAGAAGGATAAACTTAAATTGGATCCCTCCTGAAAGAAGAAAGAGAGGACGACGACAAAGATGTTGGCGCAACGATATTGATGAAGCAATGGCGGCAAGAGACTTAGAGCAGGCAACTGTATATGACAGAAAAAGATGGAAATTGGGAGCGGAGAATCAGCGGCAGTCGTAATAAATCCGATATTATATATAAAAACTTAAAACTTTTCAATTAGGCAATAAAAGCTTATTAAATAATCACTAATATTTTTCTGCAAGTAATAGTTGCCAGTTAATCTACCTTTCTTTACTTTACTTATGTACAATTTCTTAATACTGTTAAAATAATCCTAAAGTTTACAGCCTACATGAATATCACAACACATCCAAAGTATTCTCTCAGTGAAGCTGAACAGGTATCACCCTCTATTGGTTATTATATCATCACCGTAAGATTTACACCATTAAAATCATTTCCAGTAATAAAATCAAAAAATTACAATTAATCGTAAATATTACCTTTATATTAATATATATATATATATATATATATATATATATATATATATATATATATATATATATATATATATATATCGTTATCGTAGTATTTTTGTATTACAAATAAATTTGTTGACAGTTCAAAATTTAATTTATATATTATAAACATTTTACTAGCTTATTATGTATATTTTTTGAACAATAATAGGTATTAACCTATATATTCCAATTTATACATTTTATATGTATTACATCAAATTACAGATATTTATAGAATTTGTTTGTGCTAAAAACAAGTTTACGTACTTATTTCAATTTTGATTTTTTGAGATCCTAATTCTAACTTTATTTTTTGTGCAATTGTAAATGCAGATTTACTGTTATAAATGTATAAATATATTTATATATTATTGTAATAGTATTATTGTTTTACAGAAACGTTTTGTAAAACTATTATATACGCTGTAACATGTGGAATTTAATTTAGAGTAATTATTACATAAAACTTTTTAGACCTTTTAGCTGCAATTCTCAGTTCACATTGATGCTTTTTATGAATTTGAGTCGGAAATTAATAAAAAGAGCTACCACTTTTACTATTACTGTAGCTGTTTTCGATGCAACAAACATTACCTACCATTGTTTTGAACAATTATATGTATAACTATAAGTTATAAAAATCTTACGGTGATGACAAATTTGTTCGATACGATCACTCTAAATGGTGATACCTCCCATCAGCTGCACAAAACGAATAGACATGCAGTTCATTGTTGAATTTCCCTACATTTTCCCCTTACATGAACATATCCCGGAAAACATTTGACTTGGAAAAGGTTTCTCATGTTTACTTCAATCTTGGGATGAAGTGTAGCTTTGATTAAGTGTTTTCTTGCTTCAATCTGATCTAAAAAGAAAATAAATAAACTAAAATACAACTTTAAAATGGTGAAAATAATAAATATCTAACAATAAAACATTGAAAATTTTTGTTTTTAACACTTCCACAAAATTTATTTTAAATTATACCTTTCTCAAGTAATATATTTTTGGTATGTGTTTACATTTTATAGTCTTTAACTGAATTGGGGGAGAACTGTTTCTTTGGAATAAACGGGAGAACTGTTTGTCTCGTTTCCCATTAGCTGCAAAGATAAGGTCTGTTATACATCACAAAGAGATTTTTGTTGAATATTTTTTTAGGACTTTAAGTTGCTTGATCTATAGCACAAGAAATCTGTAATGGAATGTAATATACTGTCTCTTACAACATTCACTAGAGGCATGTTTTAAAAGATATATAAATATTAGATTGACCAATGAGTATACTCGTCATTCAGGGCCCTTACCAACTTAGTCGTGACTTTCCTTTCTAGCGACTTTGTAGAAACAAAAAACTGGCAACGGAGGTGGGGTGGTATCATAATATCTAGCCATAGTTTCCGATGATACATATTTGCGGCGCCAAAAGTGTACAAACAATATTTATTAGTGACAATCTTATTCTGACCAAAAAAAATTGCAATAAGCAAACCATTCACTATAACCACTACATAATAGTTATGTAGTAAACGTGAAAGAGCATTTTAACACTACAAAAAACGATGCCCCAATATTGCAAAAAAAAAAATATATATATATATATATATATATATATATATATATATGCAACTGGTCTCCAAAATGTATTGAAGGAAGGTGACATCTTTGTATTACAGAGGTTTCCGAGACGTCGTACCTCTCCTAGAAAGCAAAGGCTTTAAAGTCTTATAGGTTAGTTACTAAAATCAAGTGGGCAATTGGGACAGTACACGGAATGATTACTTAAAAATAAATGCTTTTACTTCACCAGCTACATACTTATTTATTATACAATGGGCGTGTATACTGTCAACTTGTCTGCTTTCTGTACAATTTATTTGTAAAATATTGAATTCCGATGAAAATGATACTGAAAAAATTATTGTAAGAATCGAAAAAACCAAAGATTTGAAGAATACTCTCGCTGATCAAGTGAAAGAATAAAAATTCTCTTCGGATCAAATAGCTTATTCTCCTGAGTTATCAAATGAAGAGTTGAAAATATTTACTGGATTATACCAACTACACCAGGCAATATCGTAATTAGCTAAAATTATCCAAGAAGAAAATAACTTATATTAAAATTATTATAAAGAAAACCGAGAAATTATTAGATTTGAATTAAAATCGCGACACAATCATCAACAAAACCTATACATATTATTTGCATTATGAGCCAAATGTGGATGATTTGAAAAGTATTAAACAATACGATACTACGTATGGTAGTTGTGAAAATGGCAATAGCATAATCGGTTGTAGTTCGCATGTGCTTGCTTTTTTATACTATTTATAGCATGGAAAATATTTGTCAAAAATCATCAAGCTAGCAGAACAGCTTACAAAACTCTTTGACAGTACAGATAATATACCAGTAAAAGAAGAAGACAGCGATGAAGCGTAAGAAGTATGATATGTTAACAATTATAACACTTAAATTAATTATTGTATTTTATTTTTCTATCCTACCCAAAAAATGTCGGGTAGGTGGGGGTAAAGACCCGCAATTTCTACTATTGTCAATTTAGTGAGATATCGGAAAAGTATTTTTTAAAAATTACTATTACAATATCTGAGTAATTCCTTATCCAACATTGTGTCTAAGTATATGTTATATCTGACTATTAGTCGTCATGAAAAAAATTAGACATTTATTCAAAAAAGCATTGGGGGGTTTGCCCCACAAAATAGGGTAAGTCTTCGCTGCGCGGGGCTTTTCCTCTTATCGCGAAAAAAGTTTATAGATGCATAATAATATAACCTATAATATTATTCGTGTCTTACAAAAATAAAAAAATATTGCTTAAAAAGTACGTAGCATCTATTTTAGTACATACATATTAAAACTAGTCAAATCCTCCGAGAAAACAATTGCATTATGAAATCTTAAAGAATTCATTCCTCTAGGCTTCGAAAATTTTAAAAGTATATCCTCATCAGCAATGGAGGATTCTTAATTTGTTTCTGCGATCTTGTACGCCTATAAAATATTGCATTATAACTTCCTAGATAGATAGCAATAATCTTAATTCCGTATTGACGGAATTTAATTTTATTAAATTTTTTTTAATATTTAGTTTTATTTAATTTTAATATTTTTTTTTTAATTTTATTGAATTTTATTTATTTTATTTAATTTTATTTACTTTTATTTAATACTATTTAATCTTATTTATTATGATTTCGGGCCTGTGCAAAAACATCATACCAAGCAGTAAAAAGTATTCACTTTAAAAATTAAATTCTGGGGCATTTTGCCTATTTTAACGGCAGATACAGTTTCATTGGCCCACATATAGTGATAACGCACTATAGGAAGTAGTCATTTCTGTCGAATATCGGCTTGTGATATATCTCTAGTAAATGTAAAACATTTGTTTGTAACAAACATTTATAAAACGCTTGTTCCATTGAAACTCTTCTATGGTCAGGTTATCCTTGCAAACAATTATTTCAATCATTCAACTAACGTTCTGTAATATGAGTTATGTTTGTAAACATAACAACCTATTTGACTGCGGTTTTAAGTATTGTGGTTTAAAATGACGTTTGTTCTTAAAAATGCGTCCAAATATAATCAGCAGTGGATAGTCATAAAATTTTTAGGTGCTGAAATTTTGGAATTGCTGCAAATTCATAGGCGAATGCAAGTCGTGTATGGAAACGCATGTTTTGCGTATCAAACTGTCAAGGAATCAAACATTTACGATTTTAAGAGAACAGACTGTATTACTTCATATTGTATATCAATGTATCTATCACAAGCTTCACATACTTATCAGGAACTTCTATAATATTGAGCCATATACTACTATATCGTGAGCGCCATAGAACTTCTTGACAACTACATCATAAACGTTCTTAAGTTCAATGAAAAGTTATAACCGTTTCTTTAATTGTTCTTATATTTTTCTTATATTTTTCATTTTCTATTAGATAATGAATATTGCGTAATATGTTATTAAACTTCCTTCAATAAATCCAAACTAATTTCGGATATTGTACCTATCCTTTCTGACGTTGTACACTCTTCTCCGTATATATCATATGGTAAAATTAGTTTACATTTCTCTATTTTTTGTAGTGTTAGAAAAACACTACATGAACTATTACTATATACTTTGTTACTGTCTCTATTGGTTCAATTGGTTTTCTGTATATATCATACGTATTTAATCAGTTTTGCCTCAGATATATCTAATCTAATTGGAGTATTTTTTCTTTTCTTTGTTCTATATTAAGCTATTATCTTCCTTTCACCCCTACTTGTTTCATGTTTTTCGTATAGATCTTTATATGTTGTCGATTTAGCTTTTCTTATGTTTTTCTTTTGTTAATTATTGTGTTCATAAGCTTTCTGCCATGTCCAATTCGCCTTAACACTTCTTTATCTGAGACTTTTGCAGAATATGCCTATATAGCCACATTTCGAAGGCCTCCTTTTTTTACGAATTGGGGTTTCAGAGTCCAAGCTTCTGCCCCATATAGGATTTGCGACCATGCATAACATTCGACGAACCTGAATCTGATAGCCATACTCAATTTCTTATTTGTAAACACTGACTGGTACTTTATAAATCCTTTTCGAACTATTTCAATTCTGACCTGTATCTTCTCATTTTGATCTAACTGTGAGTTTATAATATAATTTGAGGTATCTATCCTTATCAACTCTCTCTAACGGTTTACCTTCCAATGTCAGATGAATGTTGTCAACAGGGGTTTTAGAGATCACAATGTATTCGGTTTTATCTTTATTCATTGTTAGTGCCATCTTTTTGATTTCTTTGTTAATGATTTCTAAGTTGAGTTTACCGAAAGTACAAGCTGAAAATGGACGCAAATGTCAACCATGAAATAAAAAATATTTCGGTTTGGCGAAAAGTGTTTTTATAATGCATATGTTGTATACTTCAAATATAAAGAGAGAAATATTTACATCTATATTGTACTCTAAAAAGTACATTTTGATTATACTATTTTAATTTTTAATTTATATAAAACAATAAAGAGTAAATACTTGTCTCTTTCGAGATAAATTGCAAACATCTGTTGCGATCTGGCAACTGCTGATTTGACGATTGCCAAATCTATCCCCTAATCTATCAAAGAGCAATTGCCAAAAAATTTCTAATAATTAACTGCAATTGTAACGAAAATATTTTGCCTACCACAGGGGACTTTAACACAAGGGGTAGAAAATTTTGGGGAAAAACTATTGGGGGTGGAGATAAGGCAAGCAAAATAAATGCTACTTATGCGAACGGCACTCAGGGTTTCGTAGGAGAGCTGGGGTCGTGGATAAGTAAAAGATAAGGGCATTGGAATGGGGCAACTACAAAAAAATGAAATAAACGGCTCTTGGGATAAACAAAATAAAAATAAACAAGAAACACCTCAAGGAATTTAATATAGGGCGCCACTTGAGGTGCCTAATTATGCCTATTACAACCACTAGTTGTAACTAGGGAAATAATTAGAAAACAAAATCAAAACCTAAAAAACATATCTTTTTCAAATAAACTCAAAAAGGGTTAGCTCAAAAAAAAAAATAAATAAAATGTTAAGACAACAAAATTTAACCTTTATGTGTCACCACAAACAGTTACAAAATGGAGAAATACAAAATACAGAACTTACGTGTCATCGGCTTACAAACTCCAGGAGTTGGAGATACTACATAAACTACAAATTTATATGGAGGTTAACCTTGTTTAAAAATAAAACAAACTAATAATCAAAAAAAATAATAAAAAACGAGCTGTCACAAGTTAACATTAAATTTAAAAAATAAACTAAACACACAAATTGACAGCTCAACTCAAA